TACAGCATTTCCGAATGACAAGGGTCCAGGAAGGGTGGAATGTGCACGGATATGGGTAAAGAAAATTAATTCTGAACGCCGCAGAAGTGACCGTTGTACCTGATAAAACAATTTGTCAATATCTGTCTTAAGCGTTATAGGCAGTGAAACCTGAGGAAGCTGCAAACAAGAGAGAACAGCATACCGAGAATCCGAAACAATGTTAACAGGGAGTTGAGGAAAGTCTTGCAAAACTAAGTAAATAGCCTACAGCTCAGCAGGCTGCACAGAGCAGAACGAATGGGGAAGGCAGAAGAGGCAAGTTGACAGCAAGAGGCAGAGAAAGAGAATTAGTAGTTTTAAATTTTGTGAGCTTAGACAGAAGAGTAGACGTAAGGTTTGTTAGGCAGTCTATTATCAGTCTGGAGAAGACAAGGAACTTCCCCAAAACAAAAGGAGTTTCGACAGCTGCTTGGGAATATTCCTTAAAGTCCCCGTCCCGAGGTAAACCAGCCACAGGTGGCTTCAATTATAGCCATTAATCTGGGAAAAGAATGAGTGAGAAGCCCTCAACATTTACTAGAAAGAGGAACAGAGAACAGGAGAGAGTTAACATCCCCTTCAGTCTAAATTTCTTTCAGCCAGACCAATAAGATCCCCTTTATGAGGTTTTCCCGGATATGGTTGGGCACTCTTTTAGTGAGGCAATGTCACAAAGACAGACAAAGGGTTGGGGGTGCCCTCTCTAATGAGACCAGTCAGATGTCAGTTTGGTCGTGTCCCAAAAGAACTTAAGGGATGCTTAGCTGTAGTGGTCTCAGCTTTGGAAACTATTCCGATGCCACCATAGACCGTATGCCGTTTACCACAAAATCGCAGACAGGCAGTCAGACTCCATAGGCTTTTGGGACCTTCAGGGTGCCCACCAGTGGAGCCACAGAATCAAACCCAGCAGGCAAGCCAGACCGAATTGCCTATTCACATCTATATATATACTAGAGGTTACTATATTCCTTATCACAGAAATTCTACAGATAAGACTGACAATGACAAACAGGACAAAACAGATACAGAAGTGGCCACAAAACAGGTTTATGAGTTTGCTGAAGGGCCAACCGACGTTTCGGTGTGCCCTGGGGGAGAGAAATAGCTGCGTCCAGCTTTTCATTTAATTCCCCAGACAGAAGCACATGTGCATTTAAGGATCCAGATGATAAGGTGATTTACCTCATTTTTTCTTAATAACAAAAATGGGAGTGCTCGAGGAACTTGAGCAGTGGCCACTAGTTTTCCGACGGAATGGTTACAGAAGCCCCCATGGGAGAGAGAAGATAAGTATTTGTGCTATACGTTCTCCATTCAATAGTGAAAGGGTAACAGGAGTAGAAACCATAATTAAAATTTCTCCAACAAAATCAGAGTCTGTAACTCCAGGAATGATGGCTAGGCCTCTTAAAACTGCGCTGCTGCGGCCCAGTATTAAGCTAAAGGTGCCTTTAAGCAATGGGCCAAAAATGTTTAATTTATAAATGCCACCTCCCTGAGACAAAAGAACATTTTCAGCGAGAGGTAAATCAGCAGCCGCACTCCCTGAAGTTGCAGAGAGTAAATCTGACACCATTAAAGGTTTAGCTATTCCTGATGCAGCAGTCATCTCTAAGGGTTGTTGGAAAAGAAAGGGGTTAGTTACTTGAGGAGTGGGAGGCGCAGCCAATGAGTCCCCGGCCTTGTTTTAACAATTTCCACCCTTGCAGGGCTTCATAGCCTGAGCCAAAGCAGTAGCAAAAACAGCAGCATTATGTTCATGTCCCACTCCTGAACATGCTGTAATATATTCAGCTATAGAAGCTCCCTGCCCTTTTAAAGGGCCCAAAACACGTTTACATTCCGAGTTTGCATTTTCAAAAGCAAGTGTCTGCAAAAGTATCTCTGAGATTTCATCACGTCCAACATCCCGCTCAACAGCCACCCGCAATCTAGCAAGAAAATCAGTATAGGGTTCATTGGGTCCTTGTAAAGTTTTTTGTAAAAGAAGGCTGAGCGTGGCCAGTAGGTACAACACGGCGCCAAGCCCTAAGAAATACCTGGCGCATCTGCTGTAAATCCTGGCCGGAAAATTGAGCCTTTTCTCTCAAGGCTCGTAATTGTCCCTCTCCCATCAATTTATCCTCCAGAGGACCAGGAGGGTTCTGTCTCTCATTAATTTGAGCCTGCTTTCGGGCTTCCTCTTCCCGCCAACTCCTTAATTGCAGAATGCAATGCAAGCGCTTGAGTGATACCACTACATAGAGTCCACAATTTCAAAGGGATTATGTTACCCTTCTGAAGCTGGTGCTGTAATTCCTTCTGTATTAATTTCCATTCCTTTAAGTTTAATTGTACTTTGGGTTGGCACTTAAACCCATAACAATGCTGCTCCACAAGGCGGAATAACTCAAATAAACGGCGACTAGATACCTTCACCCCGATGGAGTGGAGAAGTCCTTTGACTAGCTCCATGTATTGTGCCTTTGCTGATGGGGAATTCCCCATAATTTTCCCGAAAGTTCCCCTGCCTTGGACCTACAATCCCCGAGGGGTACTCACCCTTTCGGTTTCGTTCGCCCTCTGCCCCGCGTTTGGACACCAGATGTTGCGGACGAAATGACACAAGACACACAAAAGACAGACACAGACACAACTCCGGCCGGAGGAACAATTCTACGCAAGCCCCTCTTGCGGTTTATTTTATACCCCGGTAACTGGATACAAACTGAAATCTACAAGATGCATTCCTTTCTTTACCAATTAAGGGCAAGTAGCCAAACACATTTCAAGGACAGGGGGGAGCAAAGGGAGGAAGCGACCACAACATGTTTACTAAGAGGCCTGCTCACAATTCCAGCCTCCTCCTCATTTCTAAGGAGGGCATGTTCCCTCGTTTGCGAGCCGACCATTAAACTTGGATATTGTGTGCAGGCTTCCTGGCAGAGCACCCTGTTTGCAGGCATGCTTTGCCCAGGCAGGGAGCCCCGTGTGCAGGCACATCCCGCGTCCCTAACCAGGCTTTCTTGTGGTCACTGTCGGACTCCCACATCCTGGTATTCTTGAAATAATAACTTTCGTCATTTGTTATTGAAGTGCGTGAGACTATACAGAATTACAGGTATAGCCCACATCTATGGCAGAGTTAACATTCATTACAAGCTCTTTCTCCTGTGGTTTTGTTTATGCTTGTGTCCTTTTCTTAGTAGTTAAAGAACTTGTGTTCTCTAACTGTCTTATTAGTACCGTCTTATTAGTACTCTCCACGCCCCCGCCCCCCCCCAGAGAACAGTATCCCCGAAGTACTTTATGAATCTAGTAGCACTTCAAGCAAATATACAGTTGTCTGCTAAGTACACACAGCTCTCAAGGCATCCCATCAAGCATTGACAGTGGGTCTGACCAGAATGTCTGGAGATACTGGCACCATCTGCCCAGAGCTCAAACTGACCCCTTCAACTCTGAAGACTCCTAGGGACAGAGCCTGCTGGCCCAACTCAGTGATTGAAGTCCTTCAGCGTTTGCTCTCAATTGTAGTGCCTTTTGGCCTTTTCTAGCTGGTTTTTCCATTTGACATCTCAGCACCTCTCACAGGCTGTACTAGGCTGGCCTTCTAGTCTGAGTGTCCATCTACAACACGACTGTGACTCTGAGGAACCCAGCTCCCTTCTCACAGGCTTCATGCCAAAGATGCATTTCTGGTGCGTTATCTGAATACTTATCTGTCGTTTGTATTCAACAAGTATTTGTTGAATGATTGAAAAATACTTATTAATTGACATTCCACATGCAGTAAGGTTTTTTTTCGGATTTAAAACTGCTGATTAAGGGCACCTGGGTGGCTCAGTACGTTAAACATCCTACTTCGCTCAGATCATAATCTCATGGTTCATGAGTTCAAGCCCTGCATCTGGCTCTCTGCTGTCAGTGCAGAGCCTGTTTCGGATCCTCTGTCCCCCCTCTCTCTGCTCCTTCCCCACTCACTCACTTGCATCCACATAAGCATGTTCTCTCTCACTTTTGCTCTCTTTCAAAAATAAACATTTCTTTCAAGAAGCTTAAAAAAAAAAACCCTGCTGAATATATTCTTTTTTATGTTATATATATTTTTTGTCTTTATTTATTTATTTATTTTGAGAGAGAGCACACAAGTCAGAGAGAGACAGAGTGGGGGAGGGAGAGAGAATCCCAAGCAGGCTCCATGCTAGCCCAGATACTGACTCGGCTTAATCTTGAAAACCGTGAGATCATGACCTGAGGTGAAATTAACACAGTCACTTAACCTACTGAGTCACCCAGGCACCCTGTGTTATTCTATTTCAATAGTTTATCAGCTTTTATCAAATATCCAACATAGTCAGCTGACATTTTCATTCATCATGTCCTTAAGTAAAGAATAAGAAGTATTCTTGGGGCACCTGGGTGGCTCAGTCGGTTGAGCGTCCAGCTTCCACTCAGGTCATGATCTCACGGCGCCTCAGAACAGGAAGCACTTAGTAGTGGCATCATTGCTCTGTCTGAACCAAGTTTTTCTCCTTTTAATTTTATCTATAGATTTGACAGAGATGAACTTGTTGGAAGAATACACAGAGTCAAACAGTTTTTTAGAAGCGAATCTGTCTCTTTACCTCCCAGACTCTTGGAGTTCAAAGTCCTTTGGTTTCAACACTGCTTTGTATGAGAGACAAGGGAACTTCAGATCTCTCTACTTCTTGGCCATGTTGGCCCCTCCTCTCAAACATTTTTTTTAATGTTTATTTTTGAGAGCAAGAGAAACAGAGCACGACCTGGGGAGGGGCAGAGAGAGAAGGAGACACAGAATCTGACGCAGGTTCCAGGCTCTAAGCTGTCAGCACAGACCCCAGTGCAGGGCTCAAACCCACAGACTGTGAGGTCATGACCTGAGCTGAAGTCAGACTTCTAACTGACTGAGCCACCCAGGTGCCCCTCAAACAATTTCTATGAATAAAAATCTCTCTGACACTTTTATTTTTCAGAAAACTGTGGAATATATTTTCCAGAAATAAAAAGAGATCCAGGCAGATATTTGCACACTTGTCCTGAATCTGTGAAAAAGTGGCTTCGACAGCTAAAGAATGCTGGGAAAATTCTTTTGTTAATTACAAGTTCTCACAGTGATTACTGTCGACTTCTCTGTGAATATATTCTTGGGTAAGTGATGAGTCATTCCATTTTTATGGTCTTCTAAAATAATGGATAACAAATTAGGCCAGTGCTGTTTTAAAAGTGCTCAACCATGACCATATCCTTATATTAGATAATGCTGAGTGACATGTAGTTGTTTCTTGTAACATCCCTCGACATCTGTTGACAGCAGCACCGCCTAGGTACAGTTTAGCAAAGCAGTGTTATGGGGGCCAGGAGGCTCCTAGCCCACCGATGGTCTGGGCTTTAGACATTCTGAAAGGTTGATAGACAGCATGTCCTCCATGAATTTGGTTTCTCAGCTTTGAATGACTGTTGAGGGACATGGATTTGTAGATTTCACTCCCCCATATATACCTGGAATACAGCCCCTCTAGCCATTTCAGTGTGGAGCCATGTATTTCACCATTTTGCACAGCCAGAGATGGGACTGACATCCATGAAAATCAAGGGAATATAAATGCACAGACTTAACACAGACATAGGTTTAAGCCCCACCTTGCAACTTACTCTGAGACCTCAGGTATGTTCTTTCACCTCTCTCATCCTCAATTTCATCGTCTTAAATAAAATGGGACAAGAAGACCTCATAGGAGTGAGAAGGGAGTTTAAATAGTGTAACACAGGTAAAGTATTAGAGTAGTTGATAAGTTTCAGTAGGTCTGAATACTTAACGTCATTCTTGTGAGCAATACCAGAGAATGTCTATGGTCAGAGCCAGATTCTCAAGTGGGCTACTAGATCTCCCCTAACGTTTCCTCAGATTTCAGCAAATACTGAAATGCTGGGAGTGTGAAGCAAACTTAACCCTCAAAACTGGCCTCTGGCTAACTTGTTTAGCCTCCTGGTGTCTATGTTTGTCAGCACATGTGAGTTTAGATGGGTCTGTGGTATACTTAGATCTGCCAGTAAGTATTCTGCCTTTTGAATGATACATAAAGCTGGGATCCTTGAAGTGAATTAAGGTGGAAACCCTGGATGCCTTGCACGGTGCCTCTTAGACTGTGAGACTGTATTTGCTTTCCTGATAGTGGGACCGTGCTTCAGAATAAGCACTCTTCCTTTGTCATTAGCATAGATAACCAAAGAAGTTCTTCTTCCTGTCTTAATGTCTCTTTAGCGTAGTTTAGATTTGTAATCCCATCTTTCCTTTGCCATCCCAAATGATCCTTAATGTAGTATTAAATACAGACCAAAACACAATTATTGTTATCTAAAAATTACCACATTATAAGACTACATTGATTTTCAGAAGAAGATACTTTTTTCATATGTGAACACTCTAAAAGATGTCACCTGACTTAATAATGTTAGCTTCCTGTAGGACCCATGTAAAACACAAAATTATTAATAAGTCTTCTTGCTAATAAATCCAGACAACGTTCAGGCCCCACATTTGAAGATATAGCCCATGAATATTTTTGTTGTTAGAAGCCATTGAATTCACTCACTATAACTCTTACCATCATGAGAAAGTCAGCTTAGCACCCAGAGTTGATGAGTTAATATGCATTTTTCCCCTTACATTTATATTTCAAGGTGTTTTCAGGAAAATTTGTGCTCAACCACTTCCTATTTCTATATATAAAATATTTGGAAAGCATGCAAAAGCTAATCAAAAGATAAGAAATGATACTGTGGTCTGATAGGTAAAGATGAAATTCTATTTTATATGGACTTTTTCTAATTCCTTAAAATTATGAAAAATATTGTTGTTTTTTAGGAATGATTTTACAGACCTTTTTGACATTGTGATTACAAATGCATTGAAGCCTGGTTTCTTCTCCCATTTACCAAATCAAAGGCCTTTCTGGACACTTGGTAAGTTAACGTTTTGTTTCTTCCTTATTTAAGATTTGTTCATTTGAGTACTTCATAAAATACCCGTTGGCTGACAGCCACAGGCAGAGTTCTGTGTTAAAAACAACGAGGGGTACAGAAGTGATACCAAGTCTTCTTCCCCCCTCACAGGAATGCATAAACACACACACTGAGCAGGTGAGTAAATGCATGGGATGGCCATGTTACCTGTGATGAAGGAAATGCCTAAAATTAAAAAATAATAATAATAATTAAAAAAAAATAAAACAGGAAATGCCTGCCTGATGAGTAAACCAGGAGGGCACTTTAGAGGAGCTGACCAGGGAAGGCCTGTCCAGAAAATTCAGAAAAGGTGACTTACCAGGCAGGACCTGAGGGACAAGTAATAAGAAAAGCAGAGAAAGAGTGGGAGTAGTTTGGGGAAGTTCCAGTGATGGAGAAGAGCCAGCGACTCATGGGAAGAGAAGCGAGGAAGTTAGGGAGGCAGGCAGCCTCATACACTGTGGAAGTGGGCTTGAATTTTATTCCACAAGCCATGTGAAGCTATTCAGTTGAAGTGTACGGGTAACCTGGAGAGCTCTGGCTGAGAGTGGGGAATGGATTGAACGTGGGAAGGATAGAAAGAGGAAAGAAAACCAGGGGGCACCTCGGTAGCTCGGTCAGTTAAGCGCCGGACTTAGGACTTCGGCTCCAGTCACAATCTCCCAGTTTGTGAGTTCAAGCCCTGAATCAGGCTCTGTGCTGACAGCTCAGAGCCTGGAGCTTGATTCAGATTCTGTGTCTCCCACTCTCTCTGCCCCTTCCCTGTTTGCACTCTGTCTCTCTCTCTCGCTCTCGCTCTCAAAAGTAAATATTAAAAAAAAAGGGGAAGAAAGAGGGGAACCAGGAATTGAGTGTGTCCCAAGTAAAAGACCCTGGCGGTTTGGTCTGAGGAGGTAGTACTGGAGATGGAGAGGAGACATATTTAAGACACAGATGCACTGTGGAGATGCACTGTTGGACTTGGTGATGAAAAGATAATCAAAAATCACTTGATTTTTCTTTTTCTTTTTTTTTAATTGAGCAAATGAGTGAATTGTGGTACCATTTACATCCATGAGGAAGGTTACAGAAGAAAAGTTTGTATGGGGTGGTATGGCGATTAAGAAATCATGCTTTGATGTATTAATTTTGAAATATCTACGAGTTTTTCAGCCAGGACTAACAATTAGGAAATTGTATGGATGAGCATGGAGTCCAAGGGAAACAGCTTTGGGGTCAGGGTACAAATTTGGGAGAGTCATTAACTCATAGAAAGATACTTTGAAACCAAGGGCTTATACGAGGGATACAGAGAGAACGATGAAGATAGAAACCAGACTGCAGATAGGTACTTCTACGTAATCATTTTGAAACAGTTTATCCTTCTGTCTCTCAATACTTTTCAGTTAAACAGATATAGTGCAAAAAATGCACTAACTTGTTAGTATAAGTTAATACATCTGTGGTCCCCAGTATGTTAAAAAATTTGGTGTATTTTTAATGTGCATTATTTTCTATTACTGGTGTGTGTGAGAATTTAATAAAAATCTCTGTAGAACAATGTAAGTACTACAGTAGGTATAGAACAGGTATAGATTTTCTTGGAAGAAAATACAAAAATCCTGCAGGCAAAAATAAACATTTGTTGAGTACTTAGTTATGTGTTTAAATATAAATTTGTGGAGAGGGGAAAACATTTAATTTTTTATTTGTTTAACAGAAAGAGTATTATCTGAATCCCTGATGTTATTTTTTAACAGCAAGGATTTATATGAGAGATTAAACCAGTATGTAAAAAATACCATCACTTTCTTTCTGCTAGACCAGGGTTTCTTAACTGTCACACTCCTGAGATTTGGGGCCAGGTCCTTCTTGATTAGCAGGAGTGAGGGTGCCCTGCTGGGTGTTGCAAGTTGCTTAGCAACATCCCTAGCCTCTAATCATCCCACCTCCCAATTTGTGATAATCAGGAATGTCTCCAGATGTCAGATTTGCCCTGAGGAGCAAAATTGCTCTAGTGGAAAACAACTGCACTAGACCATTCTCATGGACATATATGCATATTTTCATATCTTCAGCTTAAAAGAACATAAAATATGCCCTTGAGGCACCTGGGCAGCTCAGTCAATTAAGTGTCTGACCCTTGCTTTTAGCTTCAGGTCATGAACTCAAGGTTCATGAGTTGAAGCCCTGCATAGAGCTCCATGCTAACAGTGCAGAGCCTTCTTGGGATTCTCTCTTTCTCTCCCACTCTCTGCCCCTCCTGCTCACTTTCTCTCTCTCTCTCTCAATAAAAAATAAACTTAAAAAAAAAGATTCTCTAATTCATGATGCTGTATTTTAGCATTTGTTTTGCTGCGGATTCTAAGTCTGCATGCGTGTAGCTGCTTTGTTTCTACTGCTGGCTTTCCCTCACCTGTCTCTCTGTCTCTCTCTCTCTCAACAAAATATTTTATTGCAATAAGATATTCATTGTCCTCAAAATCAGTACAAAGTAAGTTATTAAAACTATTTTCTTACAAATGAAACTATGCAGTTAATAATAGCTATGAGTAAACAGCAACACAAATTTAGCCTCTTTAAGTCTGTATGTAATCTTCTAAGGATTGCTAACAATAGTAAAGGAAAAAAACTGTTAATCGTGGTTTTTGAATTCACTGATTTCCATTAAAAAAAAGTCTTCTGTTATATTTAAGACAAATTATTTATTCCTTTGAAGAGTAACCAGAGAAAAGACTGATTCAGTCCTGTATATGCAGTTCAGTGAACTTTGTGATTAAATGGCATATATTCCATACATTCCAATAAAGCTTCACACCTATTTCTCAAACAGAATTTTTCTTAAGTATTAAAGTATACTACATTTCATATTATAAAAAGTGTCTACATGAGTTTTTAATCAGTTTGGAACAAATATCCATGGTATCACATTTCCCTTTAAAGGTTAATACTCGGCAGCATTCCATATTAGCCTGCCTTTCTTCAGCTGTCTTAAGCTCTTTACCACTCTGACGCTTTCAGCTAGTACCTACATACCAGGACTCCCAATCCTTATCTCTAGACCTCACTTTTCCCTTACAGAGGCATATTTCTATCTGCCTTCTAAATTCTCCACGCCCTCCAGCCCCAGCATTGCAGGAAACTTGGGATGTGCTTATAACAACTCATTCATTTCCCCTCCCATCTCGGCATGCTCCTCTTCCCATATTCTGTAGTTTCCATTATAACTTTTCCAGCAGATCTTACCCAAGTGAGGAAGATCAGTCATCTTCTGTTCCTCTCTCCCTTTCACAGCAAACCTGCCTTCAGTTTCCTCAGAATGTTCCCCGCCATATTCCTGCCACTGCCCTTACCATCCATCCCTTGGATGAACTGATACATTCACATCACTACTGGCTATGAAGGTCAGTACTTAATCACTGACGTCCCGCCCCCATCAGCCTTGTAACCCTCACACCACCCAGTCTCCGTTTGGCCCAGCCTGCCTTGTAACCTCCAGTGTCATGTAAATCAAATCACTGCTCCAAATTGGTAAAAGCTGAATTAGAATAAGGCAAAGTTTGCTTCTGGGTTGGTAGGCGCTGGGTGAGCCAACCCTTAAGCACAGCGCGTCCGGCGTCTGTGCAGCTGTCGCACAGGCCTGATGTCATCCATTGTCATGGGAACAAGATGAGGGAGGTTGTGCCCGAGTTGGCGGGGGCTGAGTGCCTCCTTCTAGGCAAAATGTGCAGCATCCCGCCCCATCGCTGTGATTCAGCTTCTTGCCAGTGCGCAGGCCTGGGGAGGGGAGTCCATCTTGCAAGATTTTAACTTCACTGAGGAGAGTGACCATATCTGTCTTTTTCACTGCTGTGCCCCCTGTGCTCTCCGCTACCCATCCTCCCACCCTTATTTTGGGAACCCAGATTCCCGACTTGCTGCCTTTAGTTTCTTGGCCTCAACTGTCACCAATACACTCTGAAATCTTTCACTGAGACTTCCCTGGAGCCTCATACCATGTTTCCTCCTGCACGCAGCTCTACTCAGTATTCTGAAATCAGACTTGATATTCTCCTTCCTCCTAGAAACAGTACAACTATACACACTGGCCACTTGATAATCTTTATCTTTAGTACTTGACTATCCACTGAATTGCCGCCAGCTATAAACCTCTAGTCTCTTCACCCTTTCCCATCCAGCATGCTGTGCATCAAGTCCTGTTTAAACTACCTCATCTCTGCTCTCCGCTCTCTTCTCATTAGGACTTCATCACTCTCTTCCCTGTGAGTCTCTTACCTCCTCCCCCTGCCCTTACTTTATACCCTCCTTTTCTCCATCTCTTGCCTGCTGCTCTCAAATACTTGGCACATATTTCCATTTAAATAAAAATTTTAAATATATTTTAATAACTTTAAATGTATGTTATATGAGTCACTTATTACTGTCAGGCATACAGTATACTTAATCACATACACACAGAATCTCATTGACCCCCCCACCCAATGGAGCATCTAAGGCAATTCTAAACCTGGTTGCTAAGTTACCTTTTCATCTGCACTCTGTCTGATCCCTACAGATGCCAACTAGTCTGGCCTTGCCAGAATGAATGCCTTCTGTTCTATCACGTTTTCAATCCTGCTTTTCTCTCCACATCAGTGTTTCTCAGACTTTAATGTACACTCACATCACCTAGGGATCTTGTTAGAATGGAGATTCTCACTCAGTAGGTCTGGGTAGAACCATAGATTTTGCATTCTAAACAAATTTTCTGGTGAAGCAGATGTGACTGGTCAGATCACCAATCACAGATTTTAGTTACCCTAAGAGAGAAGGCCTTAGAGTGGTTAATTGAAGATTGTTATTCTGATAAGAAATAAACTTGCCATCATTTAGGTTCTATATCATTTCTATAATGAGCTAGTTAAGAATAGTTAAACTAAAGGACAAGACTTTGAAAGAATTAACTGCTGTTAGTTATTAAAGAATTATGAATTATAATCCCAAAACCAAAGTAGGTAAGGGTTTTGCTTTCTATTCTGTTAAATTTGTTCCAACTCACTGGTATGGTATTTATTTCTCTTAATATGTAATTTTCTTTTTATGGCTTCTAGCACAGACAAGCATTGTGGCAGATATTTTCATTAAAAGGTGTCTTATTAGAGGCATCTGTCTGGCTCAGGTGGTAGAGCATGTGACTCTTGATCTTGGGGTCATGAGTTCAAGCTCTTCATTGGGCCTAGAGCTTATTTAAAAAAATAAATTTTAAAATACAACATTTTCAATATCAAGACAATATAAAAATTATTGCAACATATCTGGGGCACTTGACTAAGTCAGAGGAGCATGTGCCTCTTGATCTTGGGGTCATGAGTTCAAGCCCCACATTGCATGTAGACATCACTAAAGTAAATAAACTTATATGTTAAATGTCTTATTCCCCATGCCAAAGAAGAAAATGGAGAAAGTGTGTATAAAAATGCATAATTGGGAAAAAAATTTTAACTCAAAATTGAAGAAGGGATATATAAGAGAAAATATTAAATATCCAGTCAAGTACACATTATATAGGAAGGAGTTCAGGAAATCAAAAGAACTTTAAATATATTTTTAATTATAAATCATTGCTTAGTAAACCTCTACCAAGTTAGAGATTGCTACCAGAATATAAGCATCCTGAGGACAGGGGCTTGGGCCATCTAGTTCACTGCTATATACCTCATACCTAAAGTGTTCTGTTAAAGATAGATGAAATAATAAGCAAAAGAAAAAAAAAAAAAAGAGGTTTTTCCAGCTCAGAGTCAATTTGATCCCACCAAGTTGTGAGGATTGTCTCATGTTTGTAATGTTTTCCTTATAACAATAATAAAGATTGGCAACATCTCACATATCTACCAATAGATGACTATTAAATAAGTTATAGAACATGCATCTATTTTAAAAACAAGGAAGATTACAATATATTATCTAGAGGAGTTTTTTTAAAAAATTAATTGCAGAAGAATGTGCTAATACTTGAATTTAAATGGGAAGGTTCATGGGTATTGTATTAATTGTGAAGGCTGCTATAACAATATACCACCAACTGAATGGCTTAAACAACAGAAATGTATTTTCTCTCAGTTCTGGGGGCTGGAAGTCTGAGATCAAGGTGTCAGCAGGTTTGGGTTTCTTCTGAGGCCTCTCTTGTTAGGATGGGCATCTTCTCCCTAGAACACCATCTGGTCTTTCTTCTGTGTCCTAATTATCTGTGTCTCTATTATCTTATGAGAACATCAGTCATACTGGATTAGGCTCACCCTAATGGCCCCATTTTAACTTAATCACCTCTTTCAAGGACCTGTCTTCAAATACAGTCACATTCTGAGGTATTGGTGGTTAGGGCTTCAACATATGAATTTGAGGGGAACACCATTCAGCTCATAACAGGTCTGTACATGTGCCAAAACTCATCAAGTTGTTCATTTGCAGTATGTACAGTTCATTGTATATCAGTTACGCCTCAATAAAGGTATTTTTTAAAGGGAGAGGAAAAGAATATATATGGGTTACCTTTGTAGAAGAGGTGAGTACTTAGCAGATAGAGTTCCAAAGTGGGACATTTAATATATGTAAGTATATTACTGATTTTAAAAAATCACATAAGTACATACTGTTTAAACATTAAGATAGTGACACCAAGCACCCTGGGAGTTGGGGGGAACAGGTGTGAGCTGCCACATGAACCATATTCAGGCAGCTATGGGCTGAAGTGAGTGGTCAGCCACAGGTGCCTAGAACTCTTCTTACAAAACTCTTGCTCCCTCTAGCAAGATTTTCTTATCTAAGGTAAGCGATGGAACTTATCCTTGTTCAGGACTGTTCGCCATAGCCCTGGCTGCATCACTTCCCCATATTTATTTTTAGGTTCTTTTACTGACTAAAATTTTACTACTTTGTGTTTTTACTTTACTTGTCCATTTGCTCTTAACAATAAGAAAACAAAAGGTTGTTTGATTAACTAATTGCTTTAATTGATTGCTCTTCCATCTCTATCCAACCCTTATCTGCTTCCTAACTTCATTCAGTCAGTTTTGGGGGTAGTTTACATGTTATAGGAACAACGTTGAGGTTTGGTCTGAGTTTTTCTCCTTGAAGGTTATCACCCAAACATCCATTAGTCATTAAGTTAAAAGATTTGAGGAATAATTTGGACATCTTACAGAACTTAGGTACAAAAAATTGTGTTGAATATACATTTTCATTTGAAGATTTCTTAATGCATTTTGCCCAGTTCTTAGGAATGTTTTAAATTGACACCATGACATAATTGAATTTTATTAAAATAATACTGGTTTGCATTTTTTCATAATATAGATCTGTTTCATGAGTCAATATGAGGGAATTGTAAAAACAATCCTTTATAAAATGAGGTTCAAATTGCATTCTAAAGTCCACCTTGAATTCATTGCTGACCTGTTCTTAATATAATGGAGGACAGTAGGGGTGCTTGGGTGGCTCAGTCCGTTAAGCATCCAACTTTGGCTCAGGGCATGATCTCACGGTTTGTGGGTTCGAGCCCTGCATCAGGCTCTGTGCTGAGAATTCAGAGCCTAGAGCCTTCTTTGGATTCTTTGTCTCCATCTCTCTCTACCACTCCCCACCTTGTGCTCTGTCTCTCTCTCAAAAATAACTCTCTCTCAAAAATAATTTTCAAAAACTGGAGGACAGTAAACAGCACTGTATCTGGGTATTCTAGAAGATGCCAAATAAAAATTTCTCTTGTGCTATAGTTGTTTCTTGTTTGTGACAGTTCCATCAGCCATATCAGGATCCAGGAATTCAAATTTAGAGATGGTTTATAGGTCTGTCTTCTAGCCTCAGTTTGAAGTCCTAATGTAAACTGTGGGGTTTGGTTAATAGTAAATCAGTTATCAACTTTGAGACCTTGGGCAAAGTAACTTCCCTGAGTTTCTCCTCAATTAAGAGTGTTGTTATGAGGAGTAAATAATATATATCTCCCCCATTATCAGCATTCTCCACAGAGAGTAGTACCCTTGTTTCAGCTGATTAACCTACATTGACACATCATTATCCCCAACAATCAAGGAAGCTATGCATGTGCAGAGGCAAGGGGTGTAGCAGAAATCTCTAACTCTCAGTTTTGCTGTGAACCCAAAACTTCTCTAAAAAATAAATTATTTTAAAAACGTATTTTTATATCTCTATGAAAAAAATGTATCTATAGATAGAGATAAAGATACCCATGAAGGGCATGTAATGCATGGGTGCTCACTGAATGCTAGCTCCTGTCCCCACATTCTTGTACATGTCCTGCAGCTGTGCTTGGTGTGGTCTGCCCACATGGGTGCTCTCACTTGATTAAAAAGTATAGGATTATCCAAAAATAAATAAATAAAAGTATATGACTGTCAAACTCTATTTTCAGAAAATGATGAGGAGCAGGAGGCCTTGCCAGCTCTGGATAAACCTGGCTGGTACTCTCAAGGGAACGCTGTCCACCTTTATGAACTCCTGAAGAAAATGACTGGCAAAAGTGAACCGAAGGTATTTTCTGATTGAGGTGGAGTTCTTGGTGCCCACTTGCAGACATAAACCATTGTGAATTAAAACCATAATTCTAAATGCATTCAGCTTTGTTATCCATGGGGAAATCAGCTACCTCTGCCTATCTGTCAGTCTCTTACCTCTTCTGTTTAAGCCCTTTCTTTGTTGGTCTAGACTGGGTCTTCATCTCTAACAGAAAAGAGCAGAGATTCCAAATAGGGAACCACAGTTCTAGGGGACACACTGGATAAGTATATGGGCTACCTGAGGAATGATACCCTGATAACAGTTCATTGAAAAACTGTTATGTGTAAAACAAGCAGTAAGTGAAATAACAGCACAGACTAGCCTAAAGACACACTTGCTTTTGATATTCTGGTCACATTGTGGATGTTGAACATTGGTGCATTTTTTTACATCAGGACCCTTTCTTATGAAAAATGTCTACCGGAGAGATCAGTGGGTAACAGACCTGCTCCGTTGGCTCCCACGTTGCCATAGCCCCCTGCGAACTCTTAAGGGGCTTAGTAGACAGAGCATCCTGACTGGGAGGTTCTAGTTCATTTTCCCTTACTCTCATTTTCTCATCTGTAAATTGAGGGGTAAGGATTAGATCAATGGGGGCTTTGCCTCAGAATACGTAGGGAGCCTCCCAGAGTCCACCTGCCCAAACCATCTGTCAAAGATGCTGTGTTAGCAGGGCTGAGTGAGTCCCACAAACTCTTGGAAAAGCAATTGTGATGTGTACTCCTGCTAATCTAACCCACTGTAACAGTAACACGTCATCGCTAATATTTTACCAGTTCTTCAATTCTGAGGGTAGGTTTATCTGTAAACATGGACTCTTACTTTAAAATCAGTTAGCCTCTGCCTTTCTTCTACCTGCAAATGTACTTTGTAACTTCTTACAACAAACTGGTGCCCTGCAAACCAAATGTGGCCAGTTCACAGTCACCTGTGATGCTATTCAAGGAAGTTCAAGATGTTTATGTAACTTTTGCCTTACTCTGATACCTGTTGAGGAATTTTTTTTCTGCTTTCATGAAGTGAACACTTTCTTGCACAGTTCTCATACCTTAAATGGAATTTGCTGTCTGACTTACAGGTTGTTTACTTTGGTGACAGCATGCATTCAGACATTTTCCCAGCCCGCCATTATAGTAATTGGGAGACAGTTCTCATCCTGGAAGAGCTCAGAGGGGACAGAGACAGGAAGCCTGAAGAATCAGAGCCTCTAGAGAAGAAAGGAAAATATGAGGTAAAGATTCCCTTCACCTCTTTCCCGGAAAGAAAAACCTTTACGTTGACATATCTTAGGAAGTGCTTGTTTGTGTCAAGAGTGATGAAATCTGTTGGCATTTATAAGTGATCTTCTTGCCGTCTCAGCTCTATTGTTTATCTTGTTGATAATTTTTAAATGATGCCGAGATGACCCTGACCATCTGTCTTCCTGGCCCCCGGCTTTCATCCAGTGCTGTGACACCATGGGTGTTTCTTGGCCAATTCTGAGGTGGCCAGATCCTGACTCACTGTAGTCATACTCTGTGTCTCTTCTGCTGGGTCTTGAGCGTTGTTCTGCACTTTTTTCATGAGTTTAAGTTAACTAAATTGGTAACTCCTTTAGACTTACCCTGAGCTGCCGAGAATAAACTTAGGTGAAGACTTAAGGTAAAGGAAAGTAAAATATGTCATAAATCTAGAAAAGAAAAATAGTATATAAAGCAAAAAGGGAGTATCTGGGTGGCTTAGACAGTTAAGCGTTTGACTTTGGCTCGAGTCATGATCTCACAGTTCATGGGTTCAAGACCCTCTTTGGGCTCTGTGCTGATAGCTCAGAGCCTGGAACCTGCTTCCTATTCTGTGCCTTACTCTCTCTCTCTCTCTCTCTCTCTTAAAAATAAATAAACATTAAAATATTTTAAGTAAAAAGGAACTGGAAAGAGGAAAGATCATAATTAAATGTATTTCTAAATTCATTCCAGTGAAACAATTATAAAGAAAGAAAAACTCAAGTCAAGAAACAAATATCAAATAAAAAAAAATGACAATAAAAAGAAATGAGCTATTAGGCCACACAGAGACATGGAAGAACCTAAAGGGCAAACTACTAACTGAAAGAAGCTGATCTAAAAAGACTGCATACTGTATGATTCCAGCTAATGACATTCTGGAAAAGGCAAAACTGTTGAGACTAAAAGACCAGTCGTGCCAGAGGTTTGTGAGGGAGGTGAATAAACAGAGCACAAGGATTTTTTTAATGTTTATTTATTTTGAGAGAGGGAGAGAGAAAGTGTGCACATGCATGCGTGGGCTAGTAGGAGAGGGGCAGAGAGAGAGAATCCTGAGCAGGCTGCACTGTTGGCACCAAGCCTGACTCAGGGCTTGATCCCACAAACCATGAGTTCATGACCTGAGCCAAAATCCAGAGTTGGATGCTTAACCGACTGAGCCACCCAGGCACCCTGAGCACAGGGATTTTTATGGTGGCAAAACTCTTCTGCAGGACACTGTGATGGTGGAAACATGACACTGCATTTGTCAGAACCCGTGGAGCTATACAACATAAAGTGTTAACCTTAATGTAAACCTCAGACTTTCATTACAAATAACATCTGCATATTGGTTAATCAGTGGTACCAAATGTACCGCATCAGTCAGTGCAAAATGTTACTAATAGGAGAGATGGTGGGGAGAAGGGGAAGCAGGAGGGGATGTATGCATGGGAACCCTCTGTACTTTCTGCTCTTTTTCTCTGTAAAACTAAAACTGTTCTAAAAATAGTCTATTCATTCAAAAATGACTATAAGTAGACCCAACAAAATATTAGAATAAAGGGGTCATGTGTTTTTTTTTATTTTTTTCTTTTAATGTTTTATTTATTTCCAGGAGAGAGAGAGAGAGACAGCGTGAGCAGGGGAGGGTCAGAGAGAGAGGGAGTCACAGACTGAAATAGGCTCCAGGCTCTGAGCTGGCAGTCAGCACAGAGCCCAACGCGGGGCTCGAACCCACGAACTGCGAGATCATGACCTAAGTGAAAGTCGGACGCTTAACCAACTAAGCCACCCAGGCGCCCCAAAGAGGTCATGTTTTGATGAGGTTTCCATTGAGTAGCATTTAGTCTTCAATGTGACATTGGAAGTTCTTTGGGCTCTTTGAGTTAAGAAGAGCTTTAAAACAATGTTACAGAGGTAGGCCTTCTATCCTGAGTGAATTTGGAGAAGGTTTTCACTAAAGAGAAATTAGGAGCTTTGGTTTCTTCAGAATGATTTGAGAATGCAGGTACTACATTAAGAAAATGAAGACTCTATGGGACAGTTGCCTCCAGCATTACAGTAAACAGTAGCCCAATCTTTTCCCCACAGACCCCTTTCCTCTTAATTAGTTACAAACACATCATAAACGAAGAGCTCATAATTGGCTTTTAGACAGGAAATAGTGAGTGTTATTTGAAAATTTTGCTTATTAAGACAAAATTGAAATAATGTACCTTTCCTATCAAACTCTACCTCTGCAACCAACCCTGCCCCTCTGAACATGGACAAGGAAGCAAGGAATGGGAAGGTTTGGCCTAGTGACAGGGTTAGAATAAAGCCCTCAGAAGGTTCCAGATTTAGCTCTGAACTCTTTTTCCATCGCATACTGTTGAGGTTCCAGGAAAAGGGAGTTGTGGAAGACAGATTTCCTGTCCTGTCAGGGGCTGAGGCAGGTGTTTTGGTGCAGGATTCCCAGCTGTGGCCCAAAGCATTGTGTTGAAAAACCAAAGTATCCTCGTCCTCCTTGACTCCAAAGTTACTCTGGCCACGCTGACCCCACCGTGTTCCTGTAGTTTGTTTTGAGGCAGTATTTGTATTGATGGGCCCATTCTTAGCAGAGGTTTCAGGCCAACTTAGGAGTTTTATCTACTCTAAGGAAAATCCTCTATCATACATCTTTCTGCTTATATTTAAAGGCAGATTTAAAATTTAATTTAAAAACAATTATGTGGGCTCTTTTTTATTATTATTAATTACCTTGTAACACAAACCTACAGCATAACTTCTAAAAGACTGCTTTCATAGTTAAGTTTGCCTGTATTTCCATTCACAGCACACTTCTTTCATCAGCACATCAAAGCCTGGTGTAAATACAGCAGTCTCAAGGGAATCCAGATGCTTTCCTCTTCCCTGTGAAGGAAATAAGAATACATACATCCTCAGTTGCTACAGGAGGAGGAAATCATCCATTAAGCATCACATGAGGGTTCATCTGTTGATTTTTGTGATGATTAAGAAAAATGTAGTTTCATTTCCTAACCAAATGTCATACACAGAACATGCGTAACATGCAGTCTTTTCCTGAGTACAAAGCCTGAATGCAAAAGGATTTAGTTCCTTATTTCTAGTTAATTTTATTCATCTTAAAAAAACTTTTAACAGTGTAATTTAAAAACAAAGGTCACTTCAATCACTTCAGGATTGATGCATTCACTGAACCAAAACATTAACATTTACTACATACAAGATTAGCATTTTGTTTCACTTAGGCTTGAATTCAGTTTCTTAGATATTTACAGTAATTTTCACCCTAGATAAAACCATCTGGAATGTGAAGATCAATTTTACTTCCCTTCATCTGTGACAACAAGCTCAAGATAAGGACAGAGAACATCTCAAATGGCCCTTCAAAGGCTTAGAGTCTTTTTTTTAATGTTTATTTGAGAAAGAGAGAGCAAGCAAGCATGATCAGGGGAGGGGCAGAGAGGGAGACCATGAGATCAGGACCTGAGCTGAAGTCAAATGCCCAACTGAGCACTATAAGAAACTTTTTCTGAAACCTTACTGCATCTGTTAATTTTCTACTCTACTATATTGAAGCATGACAGATAAGCAAAAATGGCCCATTTTAATGATTAAAGTAAATCCAGTTAAGGAGACTGGGGAAAAATAATTTGTTTTTATTTATCTTTGTTTCCAGAAATAAATCAAAAGTCACTTCATTAATCTTGTAATTACTTAGTCTTAATTTCATAAGTTTAGCCTCCAAAGGGACCTCTTCTCCTTAGCCTCAATCCTTACTGTTCTCATCTGTTTCTTCATTTTAACTCAAAACAAATGAAAAAATATTCCTCAGCTTTTTAGAATAATATATTATGAAATTTAGATGCCAAAATAAATCATTTTAATGATGAAAACTCTCAGCAAACAAGAAGGGACCAGCCTTTTATTAGAGAAAAGCTATCCAACAAAAACCCAGTGAGAATGTAATCTTTAATGGAAAACTTTAATAGGGGAAAAACCCATACTTAATGGAGACACATGCTCTTTAAGGTTCTGAGCTAGACAAAGGATATCTGTTATTAATTATGTTGTGTAACAGAGAGCTGACCAAAACCACAAGAAGAAGAAAAAAAATACATATTAGGATTAGGAGACACCAAACTGTAATTATTTCAGAGTTATATGGTCATTAGCATAGAAGACCATAGGGAATCAACAAACTGTTATAACTAAGAAGAGAGTTGTCAAAATGCTGGATCCAAATCAGCATTCAAAAGTCAATAGCTGTTCTCTGTAATCACTTAACAAAATATAATGAGAGTTAAATCATTTACAAAGGCAATGAAAATGAATCACTCTCTAGGAATTAACTTAATACATCTCATAAGACCTTAATAGAGAAATTTTTAAGTCTTTAGTAAGGATTTTGGATGGGTGAAGGGAATCAAAAGTACAAGTTTCTAGTTATAAAATAAATAAATCTTGAGAACCCAAGGTACAGCATGGTAACTATAGTTAATAATATTGTATTGCATGTTTGAAAGTTGCTAGGAGAGTAGATTTTTAAAGTTCTAATCACACACACAAAAAAGTCTTTGTAACTATGTATAGACTTACTGTGATCATTTATTACTAATATATATATATATAGAGAGAGAGAGAGAGAGAAAGCTTCATTAAAAACTCCAATATCAGAATGAACAGAATGTCTTAGTCCTTTTGGGCTGCTATAACAAAATACCATAGACTAGCTGGCTTATACACAACAAACATCTATTTCTCACGGTTCTGGAGGTTATTAAGCCCAAGGTGATGGTGCTGGCCAATTCAGTATCTGGTGAAGATTCACTTGCTCATAGACCCTCATCTTTTCACTGTACCCTCACATGCCAGAAGAGGGAAGATAGCTTTTTTTATAAGAGCAGTAATCCCATTCATGACGGCTCCACCTTCATGACCTAAGCAACCTCCCAAAGGCCTCTATCACCTTGGGGTTAAAACTTCAACATGTGAATTTTGGGGAGGCACAGATATTTAGACCATAACAGCATCCACATTACATTAAACCAGAAAGAGTAGATAAATCTATTTTCCCGTTTTCATAGGATGAGAGAACAGCCTAGATTTTAAAATTCAGTGTTTACATAACCGTTATCGACATACAGTATATGTGATGTGAATCCTATCTTTTCCGATTCGTTGTTTTGGGAAAAGATAGTGAACTAAAGAATGAAAATTTTATTATCTTATCATTGCTTATTAAACACTGAGAAATTCAAATACACCTTTACTGTATTTAGAGAATCAAGGATATTCATATTCTATACTGCTTTTAAATATCTTTAGTGAAACTTAAACAGGTTCTTGCTGATTGGTTTCTAAATATCATCATTCAAAAACATTCTCTCTTTGGGGCACCTGGGTGGCTCAGTCAGTTAAGTGCCTGACTTCAGCTCAGGTCATGATCATGGTTCATAGGTTCAAGCCCCACGTCAGGCACTGTGCTGACAGCTCAGAGCTTGGAGCATGCTTTGGATTCTGTGTCTCCCTCTATCTCTCTGCCCCTCCCTGCTTGTGCCCTGTCTCTCTCTCCTTCAAAAATAAATAAACCTTTAAAAAAAAAACAACAACAACAAAAAAAATCCTTCATCAAATGAGTTACAGCACAAAGAATTATGAATCTAGAGGCATTATTTGAGACTCTATAAGTGTTCCACAATGAAACTTTCATCACAAAAAGATGACAGATTTTATAATCCAGATGATATGGATAGATGGGAGTTTTTACCATTCTTTTTTGTTTTTGTTTTTTTGGGTTTTTTTTGTTTTTTTTAGTTTTTACCATTCTTAATTGTATTCCATATCCGTAAGACACTGAGGAGTATTTTTTTAATAAGTCTTTTATTTGGTCTACAATTATTATGTCCCTGCTCTGACCCAGGCACTAATAAGCCTTAAAGTTACACTAATACATAAAAAAGTTCCTAAGCTTGTGGAGTTCATTTTCTGTCAAAAGTGAAAAGTAAATAGTATGATAAATAAAAGTATTTATGAGAAGTAGAATATTAGGGATAAACTCAGGAAAATGGAAGACCTAAACTAACCTGAGGGTGGGAGGGCCAGGAAAATGTCCCGGCCTCCAGGCCAGATTCCAAAGGATGAGAAAAAGGGCTCCCAAACAAACCAGGGGAAGATATTTGTGCCAGGGGAGGCAAGAACTTCTAAGCTTGGTTTCCCTTTGTATATAGAATACAGTTTAGTTAAAGTTTGGAATTTAGTTAAAATTCCTAGAGTTTTTCTATTTTGATTTACTTAATGGGGGAACAACTTACAACACTGAAAATTAATCTTTTTTTTTTTCATTGTTCTGTCCTCTTGTTTCAGGGACCAAAGGCAAAGCCTCTAAATACATTATCTAAAAAATGGGGCTCTTTTTTTATTGATTCGGTTTTGGGACTGGAAAATACAGAAGACTCATTGGTTTACACATGGTCTTGTAAGAGAATCAGTACTTACAGCACTATTGCAATTCCAAGTATTGAAGCAATAGCAGGTAAGTGGGAAAATACTTATAAAGCTTTAGCTGTTACTAGACATTAATGACTGTAAGTACTAGAATTCTTGCCTTCAAAAGAAGAAAATTTTCCCATATTTATTTTTCTTGGGATACACCTAGTTACGGCATCTTAAGGAATTATGACCTGCCTGTCTCCTGGAGCCACCTATAAAAGCTGGACACCCCCCCCCCCTTTTTTTTTTCTTAAGTCTGCTTGGAGTCATAAGATAAAAGGAAAAATTACCAGGACAGGATGCTAAAGAGGCCACATAAGAGGAACCTGACTTTGGGAGCCCCTTTTCCCTCACTGTTGGCTAATTCTAGAGAGGGCACCAGAGAAAGTGAGTGGGCCTTTCATCAGCTGAAGCTAATGAGAGACTCGGGGACAGGAGGTGGAAGGTAGGGTCTGCAAGAGAGGTGGGCCTGATACACACTCCTAATCTGTGTCAAGACCCTGAATTTACCTTAGAGTAAATATAACTGAAGCTCAGTGTTAGATGAGCTAAATACCTAAAACCGCATTGACAATATTCTCTTTTGAGGAAGGTAACATCATTCTAGCACTCAAAGTTTTTCTAAAAGCAAAACAGTATAAGGTTCAGCACATGATGAAAAATAGCCAGCCTGACCCCTGTTAGAAGACTGAAGATGCAAGAGGGAATATACAGCAACAAAGGGACAGATACGCGAATCAATTATATGAACATTTACTATTGGAATAATAAAAAAAAAAAGTCCTAAGAGGTTTAAAGGAAGAATTTTAAAACATGCTGCCAATAGCAGTGGGACAGCTGGAATTAAAATGCTCTAACATCTTTGTACTATATGGTAGGGCATAAGAGTATACTGATAACATACAAAATGCATGTGTAATCTCTAAGATAACTACCAAAGAAACTGAAATAAGATGCATACTGAACTAATTATGTCAAATAACTTAAAATCTAAAGGAAAACAAAAATGGGAAGAAAAGAGACTATGAAAAATAAACAATACAAATGGGAGAGTTTTCACTAAGTTGATAGGTTTAAAGCTAAGTAATTGTATTAAGTATGGATGGCAAAATTCTCCAGTTAAAGGCCTGAATGAAATAACAAAACCCAACTATGAGCTGTTCACAAAAGATGTCTCTGAAATATGAGGACACAGGGGCGCCTGGGTGGCTCAGTTCGTTAAGCGTCCAACTTCGGCTCAGGTCATGATCTCGCGATCCGTGGGTTCGAGCCCCGCGTCGGGCTCTGTGCTGGCAGCTAGCTCAGAGCCTGGAGACTGTTTCAGACTCTGTGTCTCCCTCTCTCTCTGACCCTCCCCTGCTCATGCTGTCTCTGTCTCATAACTAAATAAAAACATTAAAAAAAGTGAAATATGAGGACAGTTTGAATATCAGAAGATGATAACAAAAAATACCATGTTAATGATAATCAAGAGTTAACTATATTAATGTGAAATAAAGTAGACATCAAGGAAAAATTCATTATTATGAAAGAGAATTACTTTGTAATAGTAAATTCTATTTTCAGAAATACATATCTGAAAGTCTGAGGTATTCACCAGAGCCCTTCTCATTTCTCAGGTCAGAACTTAATCCCTCCCTGTTTTCTTAAAACCGAGAAACTGCTGAAAAATCCACTCTGCTTTGCAGAGGTATATGCTTGTGCTTACTTACTAGTTTCCTGAAGTTCCCCTCATAATTTGGCAATGGGCCTGAGGAGCAAACCAGTAGAGCCCAGTTCTCCAGCCATACCTTCACAGTAGATTCCTAGCCCCCCAGTTTCCGTTCCTTCACAGCATATTTCTAGCCCCCCGGTTTCCATTCCTTCACAGCAGATTCCTAGCCCCCTGGTTTCCACTCCTTCACAGGCTAGGTTCCTAGCCCCTTGATGTGTGACTGCAGCCCTTCCAGATTGCCAAAAGCTCTACTCGTTTTTCTGCTACTAGGAATGCACCTGCCCCCAGCAGGAATTCAGGGACCTAAAGGGAAAAAGCTGTGGCTGAATGTCAGCTCACTCTCTGCTTGTTATGCCTTCCCAGGAACTGGGTCTTCAGGTCTTAGTTGCCTCTCCAGTGATTTCACTCTGATGTTTATATTCTGTCTAGCTTTCCTAATTGTCCTAGCTCCAGTTTAGAAGTGAAAGTCTACTTCAGTTTTTTTTGATCCTTAGATTTTTCTTTCTTAAATTGGGGGTAATATCAAGCTGCATTTCCTCCCTCGCAGGATAGATGTAAAAAACAGCAAAGCAAGATGCTTATCTTATTTCAAAGTGATTCACATTTTTAGTGAGAAAATAATGTGATAATGGAAGCCAGTGAATTAGTGTATAGTACCTGGATAGAAACTGGGTCAATGGGATATGGTTATGGAATAGTAAGAAAGTCAAAGAAAAGTGAATTTTCATTATTCTAGGATTTCCATATTTCTCCAAAAAATTGGAAAATAACCCCCTCTCTGTCTTCTGGGGTAACAACCTCTCTTTAAAGAAGCAATAATAACATTACTGCATCTCCCATTTTTTCATTTTCCAAAAGCTTTCTTTCACAGCACCCAGGGAAAGAACTTGGTGCAGAGCCTGTCTTCTAACTTTTCTCAAGAGAAAATACTAAGAAGGACTTAATAGTAGTCAAACAAAGCTAGGCAATGTTCCTTCTTCCCAATCTCTAGCATTTCTTTTTTCTTCATAAGGGTTAACAACTACTACCATCAATGCCTTGATGGTTCTCACTGGCATTTAATGTAAATTATAATTTTTCTGCTAGTGTCATTTTCAAAATATTCCGTACTTCCAAATGATGTTTTACTTGTGAAATTTTTAAATTTTTTTAATGTTTTATTTATTTTGGGGGGGAGGGGACTGTAAGCGGGTGATGGGCAGAGAGAGAAAGAGGAACAGAATCCAAAGCAGGCTCCAGGCTGTCAGCACAGAGCCCGATCCGGGGCTCCAACTCACAAACCGTGATATCATGACCTGAGCCAAAGTCAGACGCTTAGCCAACTGAGCCATCCAGGCACCCCACTTGTGAAATTTTTTAAATAAGGATTAATGCCCAGTATGTGCACATGAAATGAGTATTGTAACATGGCATATATTATAATGTTTCATTTATAATATTTCTAGCAATGTTTCCTTGGAAGACACTGGGTTAGAAGGTATCTGAAGGCTAGCTTTTGAGAAACTTCTATATAGATGTCATAATGTCTCACCGTCAATAAAATGTGCATTTTATGTTCTCTCTCCCAATTTCCCTTGTGGCTCTGTGTGTAATGCTTATATGGAGAAAGTTGCCACGTTGTGTGCATTAAAATCCTTATTTATCTAAGCATTCAAAGATTACTCTTAGTAATTCTCTTATTACTAAGGGCCATGAAGATTATTAGTTCTCATTTACCAGTTCCATGATGCTCTGAGTAGGGCCTGAGAGAGTTTTAAATTTCAAAATAAAAAAAATCCGATGAGCATTCCTGCTTTTTTGTTAACTTCTGTACAGTGACTGTTATATATAGTTAGATCTCTGATGATGATTTATAATACATCTAAATGTATTTTGACTTAAATTTTATAGAGAAAGACATCTATATTTTAGGCACAACCTATTCAGGTGACAGAAGAAATTAAAATCATGAAACTAAAAAATGAGTTTTGATTTGTTTGTATTTATGAACAGCCTTTTGAGATTTGCAGAATAATAATACTGGGGTTTTTTTTTCCCCAGAATTACCCCTTGACTACAAATTTTCAAGGTTCTCTTCAAGCAATTCAAAAACAGCTGGCTACTATCCAAACCCTCCATCGATCTTATCAAATGATGAGACACTGACAACCAAATAAACTGTCTCTACTGAAAAATGAAGAACCACATATGCAGCAAATGTACTGTAAAAATGTTAATTTTTGAAAAATACTGTAAAATGCTTTATAGAAACAAATTCCTAATGATAACTAAGAATTAGATGCTTTTCCATAAGTCTCCTTTCTGTAGAGATCGTCTTGATGCCCAACAACTCTCATTATATTAAAATCTCAGTGTCTTAGAACTGAAAAGAACCTTATTAATATTTTCTATACCAGTAATTCTGAGATTAGGATTCACCTGGGCAGATACATATATACACATTCGTACATACACCCATACACACATTTACACATATGCCTACACCAATGGTTCTCAAAGTGTTGTCCCCAAGCCACTAGCACAGCATCATCTGAGAATTTGATAGAAATACAGATTTGCAGGCCCCACCACAGACCTGCAGAATCAGAAACTCTGGGAATGCAACCCAGCAACCTGAATTTAATATTAGTGTGATTCATGTACAGAAGTTCTAGAATCACTAGCTAGAGCAGAAGTCCAGATTGGTTTAATTGGTCTGGGAATAGAGTTAAGCATTGACATCTTTTACTTGCCCCAGGAAAATGCAGCCAGAATTGAGAACTGAACTATATGTGTTCCTTCCATTTATAGCAAGAATGCTGAGTCCAGTGAGAATAAACGATTCTTCCAAGTTATCAGGTTTTATGGTATTTTTATGTTTTCCAAAACAAGGAGGTAAAGAGGATTTCTTCTGATACCACACAGCTAGTATAGGACAGAAATGAGATGGGAAGCCAACTAATTCAACCTCCAATGTTACTCATAAGGGTTTTTGTTTTGTTTTTTTTTTTTTTACCTCTAATAATGTTAAAGCCTATATAATTTTCATTCACTTTAAGGCATTCTCAAGGAGACAAAAATTGGTTCTTGGGTGAAAAAAAATAGATAACGCAATGTACAGTGGCCCTTCAAAGCTCAACCCTACCCAATAAAATTTTATTCTTTAGTATTAATTTCTCTCACTAGAGAGAAATAAAAAGTTACATTTATTAATTAAATTTAATTTGGTTAAATTTAATTTTTCTCAGGGTGGAGTGTGGTAATGAAAAAAAAAAGGTTGAGAAAAATGCTTGAAGAGGTTTTATAGTTGGACCACAATCCAGGATTTTTGTGTTCTGTGTGCTTTGTATAGTCCTATTATAGTAGCTACTTGTGCCAACATGTTTGGAGCCAGATGTTTACAGTAAATTCCTGGCTATTCTTTATGCTGTAATTGGACAGTATCAGAAAACACAGTAGACCCTATCATTATTTTACCTGGATTGTAGCAAAGAACTTAACATATTGATGCATGCAATGAAAAGATATACTTCGTTAAATTTTTAAGTGCTCAAATAATCCCAAATGTATTGTGGGAATGAATATCTCAGGGTAGATAAACAGTTACTGAAATTTTTTCCTCAATGTCAGTAGCTCTGTTTGATCTCTACTAATAAAATATGGTAATGTATTTAAAACTGAGTTCCAAAATCTTATTGGAGCACAATAATAAACATACACAATCCGCTTAGGGCTAAAAGAGAGCTGTCTCATGTATACAAATAAATATTTAATTTCTTTAAAAATTAAGCTATTTTTCCTTACATGGATTTATTTTGTCAAGAGCAAAGAATAATGTATCTTGAAATGCTTATAAACTGCTCTTGTTAATGTGAAAAATGAAAACCCCAAAATAATTTAATTGCACTTTTTTGGACATTTAAGGAGTGAAAAAAATAATTGACTCAAGTCAGAAGTTCTCATCCTACTTTAACCAGTACTTACCTAAGGGATCAGAACAAGTTACCACCTAATCTGACCTCTGTTTCCTTCATCTTGTTAAGAGATTAGAGTTTCTTTCCAAGTTTCCTTCTAATTTTCTAGCAGTCAGTGCTTCTAATGAGTGTTCTTTTTCTCTTGGACTATAATTACTTTCACATTTTTTATTGCATTGTTTCTAAAAAGTGTCAGTGTTGGGGTGCCGGGGTGTCTCAGTCAGTTAAGTGTCTGGCTTCAGCTCAGGTCATGATCTTGCAGTTTGTGAGTTTGAACCCCATGCTGGGCTCTGTGCTGACAGCTCAGAGCCTGGAGCCTGTTTCAGATTCTGTGTCTCCCTCTCTCTGTTCCTCCCCCACTTGCTCTCTTGCTCTCTGAAAAATAATGATTAAAAAAAATTTTTAGGGGCCCCTGGGTGGCTCGGTCGGTTAAGCGGTTGACTTTGGCTCAGGTCATCATCTCACGGTTCGTGGGTTCGAGCCCTGCGTCGGGCTCTGTGCTGACAGCTAGCTCAGAGCCTGGAGCCTGTTTCGGATTCTGTGTCTCCCTCTATCTCTGACCCTCCCCTGCTCACGCTGTCTCTCTCTCAGAAATAAATAAAAACATTTTTTTAAAAATTTTAATAAAAAGTAAATAAAATAAAACAAAAACTGCCAGTGTTTCTAACAGATAAGAAAAGTAAAAATAATAAAAAATGCCACTAGAAAAATTGAAGCTATTAGGGAAGAAAAGCTGTATATTCTTTAATAAAGTTAAAAGAAGAAAGCAAGAAAATTGTATAAATGGGCAGAGGACTTAAGTTTAATATTAGCATACAGATCAACATTCATCATGTAAAAAGATAACTACAAGGGCGCCTGTGTGGCTCAGTCAGTTAAGCATCCAACTGTTGATTTCAGCCTAGGTCATGATTTCATGGTTCATGAGTCTAAGTTTGGCATCAGCCTCCTTTCTGACAGTACAGAGCCCGCTTGGGATTCTCTGTCCCTGTCCCTCCCTGGCTCACACACTCTCTCATTCTTTCAAAATAAAAGAGTAAAATTTTTTTTTAATTAAAAATGACTAAATAAATTATTTTATAAATAAATGCAAGGGATTGGAGATTTTCTTTGCTGGTCACTGTTGACCTCATCAGCAGAGGAAAGATCTGAATGGCACAGTGGTCACAGTTTGTCAGAATTTGGTTTGTGAAATACTGAGGTAGCAGAGATTTCAACTTAAACAGTGAATTGCAATTTAAAATCAACTAAAGTTGACTCTTGAAATACATGGGCCTATAAGGTCCACTTACAGCAAATTTTTCTTGATACAGTACTGTAAATGTATTTTCCTTATATGATTTTAACTTTTTTTGTAGCTTGCATTATTATAAAAATATAATATAATACATATATAAAATATGTGTTAATGTTATCAGTAAGGCTTCCAGTTAACAGTAGGCTATTAGTAGTAAAGTTTGGGAGGAGTCAAACATTACACATGGATTTTTGACCATGCATGGGGAGGGGGCCCTAATCCCCATCATTCAAGGGTCAACTGTACTTCTAAGTTTTCTTAATTTGAAATCCGGTATTATTTCCCCACCAGTTTTCATATCCAACAACTATGTATTTAAGCAAATGTATACATATATATATGTATGTAAACATACGTATATACACAATTTAACTGGCTTGAATGAAAATCAAATCTATATGATTATTTTATATAACCAGCATAAAATGTAATGTCAAACTATCTCTTTGGATATAATAACCTTGACTCTATGTTAGAGTCACACGGATAGCTCCTCTTAAATGTGATGTTGCAATGACATTCCCTTACCTCTTCTCAGGCTCTTGAGAACAAGGTTATCATAAGAATTGACTTCCAGATTAGTGAAAGACTGGGATATTTTCAAGAGTTAACTCACCCCATGTGCTGCCGTTGAAAACCCTTGGGCATGGTCCAGTCCACATAGAGTGAATGCAAAAAGAGGTGGTCTTGTTTGTCTCCAGTCATCCTCAGAAATCATGATTTAAAAAAATGGTAATGAGTGCTAACTCTTTAGCAGGCCACTTCATGTCCCTTATTTATTCAGCAACCATATGAGGTATATATAATTATTAAAATTTTATAGATAATTTCAGCAGGACATTGAAATTGACAGTTAAATAACATACTTGCTCAAAAATTTCCTGTTACTAAGGAACAGAGTCTGTACATAAGCCCAACTTTCACCCCAAAATCCATGCCTTTAGTTGACTGACAAGTCTTCCAACTTTGGATACAGATTGAGGCAAATTCTTAGTCTAAAACCACACTTTAACAGTCACACCATACTGGGATTAGATATAAAGACATAGACTCTGTCCTAAAGTAATGTAAGTTAGTAAAAAAATATTAAAACAAGATCGATGAGACGCCAGCTGGCCCAGTTAAGTGTCTGACCGTAGATTTTGTTTCAGGTCCTGATCTCAAGGTGATGAGATCAAGTCGAGCACTGGACTCTGCATTGGGCATGAAGCCTACTTAAGATTCTCTCTTTCCCTCTTCCTCTGCTCTTCCCCTGCTCACGTTCACTCTCAAAACAAAACAAACAAATAACAACAACAGCAGCAAAGATCTAAACATAGAACTTACCTGGAAGAGTAAAATAGAGAACCAAGAATCACAGGAGTCCTAAAATGTATAATGAAGTCTACTCTTCTTGGAAGCCACATATACTAAAGTCATCAGTAAGCAGGTCTACTCTTTTCTTCATATTCAGGTTCAAATGTGCACCTTACTTAGCAAATCTGCCTCTCTGGTGCTGAGGAAACCAAAAGGGAAAAGGAATAATGAAAACTGCTCCAAGTAAACTTAATGGGAGACGAGACCTCTGGGCCTAATGAGAGAAGCTGGGTCATTACTTAGAATGACGACTATAACACATAGTCTGCTTGATAGTCAGGTTCTTATGCTATGCACCTGTTCCCAGAGTCTTAAATTTTAAAAAACACTTTTTTTTTTACTTTGTTGGTAGTTTGGCCTTGGCACTTTATTGGTAAAAAATTAAAAAGCTTAATAAAGTTTAATAAAGAAGAGAAGAATGGGACACCGGGCTGGTTCAATGGGTAGAGCAGGAGATTCTTGATCTTGGGGTCAAGCCCCACATTGGGGGGGTTGATTGTACTTAAAAACAAAATCTTAAAAAAAAATTAAAAAGAAAATAAATTACAAAGTTCCCATTAAAAGCAATCACCATGTTCAATCAAGTAAGAAACACTCATTCTCTAAATTTAAAAAAAATGTCAACATGCTTTACAGTTACTAGCAACTAAATTTCAGATACTATATTTAAAATCCTTTTGTCGCATTTATTCCCTTTGAGAAGGCAAAAAACTGCTAATTTCATTCATTTTTGCAGCAATCACCAAGATTGTAAAT